TGGCCGCGCCCGCCGTCCCTCCGCCGCGGCTCGGCCGGCCTCGCCGGCGCCCCCGAGCCGCATTTCCGGGTTGGGGCCCGGCGGGCGGGAGCGGCCCGGCCCCGCCTCAGAGGTGGGGCGGCCCGCGCGAGCCAATCTCGGGGCCGCAGGGCGGGACCGGGCGGGAGATGCGGGGGGGCTGGGGGGGGAAATCTGTCATCCCTGGGGCCCACGGGGGAAACTGAGGCTCGCAGGGGCGCCGAGCTGGCCAAGGTCACGCCCGAGGCAGCGGCGGGGCTGGGCTCCCACGCGTGGTTGGGATCGGGAGCTGGGCTCTGCGCAAACGACAGACGCAACTTCGCTGCTTAGGAAACTGACCAGTGTTCACGGACGGAAATTTGGGCTATAAAATCCAATTTATAAGGCAGAAAACAATCCCATGGCATCACTGCTGATAGTCGCAGGGACACTTGCAGAACTTTTTTCTTTGCTTATGGTTTTGTGGATTTTTTTGTACTCGTTACTGTTGATGAAATGTTGAATTTTCTTGTAGCTGTTAATGATGATGGTGTTATTGTTGGTTTTTGTGTTTGTGGTAAAGTAGACATAAAATTTACTACCTTAACCATTCTATCATCTGCCATGTGCACAGCTGAGTGGCATTAAATGCATTCACACTGTTGTGTTATGACCATGCTGTTTTAAACAAAATCACAATCATCTTTGTTACCTCAAGGTTGCATACTTTTAAATAACCTTTTTTTTCTATTTCCAAAAGAAATACGTATTTATTTTGAAAAATAACAGTTTAGACAATACAGAGGATAATTAGATAAACGAATCCATAAGCCCACTAACTAGAATTCTTGAACAGCAGGGATAGCTACTAACATTGACCCAGCTCTTATTCCTTTTTCTTTTTTTTTTTTGGTTTAGCACTTATTCTTACTAAAGAATTTTCATGCCTATGGGTACCTGGGTGGCTCAGTCAGTTAAGCGTCTGCCTTCAGCTCAGGTCATGATCCCAGGGTCCCAGCTCCCTGATGCTCAGAGGGGAGGATGCTTCTCTCTCTCCCACTCTGCTGCTCCCCCTGCTTGTGCTCTCAAATAAATAAAATCTTTTTTAAAAAATAAAGAATTTTCATGCCTGATGTCTAAGTAAGCATCCCTGCTAGTGTGGCCCCTGTTTTTGAAAGGGTGAGGAAGCTGAGGCACAGTGCAGTTCTATAACTTGCCCTGGGTCTCACGGTGCCAGAACCAGGATCTTGATACCCATATGCCAGAGGCTATGCTTTGACCATTAGGCTCTACAGCCTCTGTTTGTCCAAGCTTCCAGTGTTCTGTACATGGATGCACCTTAAACAACAGTCGAAACGGTAAATATAACTCCTATTCCCCAAAAGGGCTTCTGCGGTTTGGATACTTTTTTCACTTAGCAATGCATCATCCAGTATCCCGTATAGTTCTGCTGACATCTGACCGCCATCCTCCCCCGTGGTGAGGGCTGCGGAGGACTCCACTGGAGGCAGCCTATAGCTTATAGATCCACGTACTTGATCGAGCTCCCTCCTGACACTGAACTGGTTCCGGACTTCTTCCTCATTAACAAGGCCCTGCACTCAAATTCAGGCACACCTTTATTTATTTCCTTAGGATAAATTCTCAGCAGATGGAACTGCTGGGCCAAAGTACAGGGATCCCTCTCGGGACTTTTGATACAGGGTGAAAATTGCCAACTGGTTACCCCACTCCGGACACTAACCCTCAGTGAACACAAAGACAAGGTCAAGGTAGATACCAGCTCTTACCACCATGCCAAGCCACATTCAACACTCAGTAACACTGAGAACGTTATCCTACGTCATAACCCTTAGTACATATTAAAAGCACATCTGATTTTAACAGCCCTGCAAGCAGGAGGTTAACTATGACCATCTCCCTCTTTCACATGAGAGACCTGAGGCTTTGGTGCCCTGCCTACTCTCAATCATATAGTAGGTCACAGAGCACAGAACTCAAAACCACCCCTGACCAACAGCAAGGCTCTGCTCTTGGCACTGCACCCAACTGCCTCCCAACAAACCCTTCTTTTGTGTTTACTGTAGCCTTTACAAAGTAATGACAACTTGTCCTCAGAGAACGCTAACCATTTTTTAAAAGATTTATCTTACTTCTCATCACAACCCTAGGAGATACTTAGTATTATCATCTTACGTGTGAAATTTGCCAGACCATACACTAAATGCAGTTGCATATAAATACATAGATCTAGAGTCTAAAAAAAGATATGTACACACAAACATGAAGAGTGACCTTTCTTACAAAGTTACTAAAGGATGTGCTCCACCAAATGATGGAGGAAACCAAGAAAGAAGAAGACATGAGATTCAGGAAACGGGAAGGAACAAAACACACAGGAAGGTGAGGAAGGCAAGTCCCAGGATTTGTCCACTTACCAAGTATGGATTCAGTCTCCACTCCATACCAGGCACCGTGCTAGACGTTGACAATTCCCTGGTGAGCAAAACACAAAAATCTCTGCCCTCGTGAAATGCCACAGGCGGGAGGCAGGGTGGGGGAGACAAATGAATAAGCAAATCTTCCCTGATGTTAGAAGGCTGTTAGTGCTACAGGGAAGAAAAAATCAGCGGGGCCTCAGGAGTGCCTGGGGGAAAGGTGCAATTTTAAATGGATAATGAGGAGAAATCCCAGGATAAGAACAGGGAGCACACAGACCCAAGGGAAGCAGGCTTTGGAGGGCTCCAGAAAGAAGCTGAAGATGATAGATCCTCTCATGGCTTTCGCCACATAAAAAAACTGAATTAAGAAGCTGACAGAGAGGCAAGAAAACTCCAGAGGTAGAGCCCTATCAGGAAGGAAGCAAAGTCACCGTTCGCTAGGCGCCTCACTCTTCTCAGCCGTGAGGGGTATTTACAGTCACAATACAGATGCACGGATTCAACCAGTACTCATTCTCCTCTACCTCGCAAGGAGGAGAGGGGGTGTGAGACAGCTGAGTCCTCACCTCTTCTAACAGACAAGCACTAGGTAATGGCTGTAAGTGAGGAGTCCAGACATAAAGTGGGAGAATATTCGTTAGAAAGATAGACATACACAGCAGAAAGAACGTTTAAACCGGTAGTAAGTGGGATGGGAGGAGGGGGGAGAGGTGAGGCACCGGCTGCTGTTCTGCGTTACAAGCCTTTTTATTTATATTTTATTCTTTATTTTTATTTATTTATATGAGAGAGAGAGAGAGAGAGGGAGAGGGAGGGAGTGCACACAAGCAGAGGGAGAGGGAGAAGCAGACTCCCCGCTGAGCCAGGAGCCCGATGCGGGGCTGGGGGCTCGATCCCAGGACCCTGAGATCATGACCTGAGCCGAAGGCAGACGCTTAACGACTGAGCCACCCAGGTGCCCCTACAAGCCTTTTTACAACTATCTGACTTCTTAAACATTGATGCAAATAAAAATTAATAAAGTGGGTGTAACTTCCTCCCAGAGATTCTAAGAAGCTCTCACTCACGAAGGTAAAACTGCAAGAATGTTCGTGACGGCGTGACTTTAACCTGAAGCAAATAACAAGAGAAAAAGAACCAAAATACTTATGAACAAGAGAATGGTAAAATAAATTATGGTACGTCCATTCTGGAGAATTCGATGCAGCTACTGGAAAGCAGAGGGTAAAGGTCTAACGGAGAGAGTGAAGGTAAAGAGGCAAGTCACAATACGAACTGAACTGAGGTCTTCAGCTCCCTCCCCCCCCCCCCCCCCCGAGTCCCTCACACCGAAGCAAGACCGCGTAGTTCTTCGGGAATTCAAAGACCAACAGGGAGGGGTAAAAACTGAGAGGAACAAAGTCTGCAGGGAATACTAGAGGCACCCCCCCCCCAGCAGCAGGTGGGGCAGGCATCCTCTGTGGCCTCAGGGGAAGGTGTGAGGGGAGAGGGGCAGGCTGGAGGCCTGCGGAAAGCCGCTGAGCAGGCAGTGGGGGCAGGGCAGGGAGCAACCTCAGAAAGAGGAACGAGAACAGTACTCAGTTCTCATGGGGCCTCGATGGCAGCCATTGTGCAAGCCAAAAGCCAGGCCAGGCCACCCCTCTCACCTAGCGAGAGGCAGGGCACCCCTGCCATGGGTCAGGTCTGGCTGCGGATCCCGGGACAGCGGGCAGGAGGGGACATGGACTCACCTGGCCCACACAGTTCACGGGCACTCTGGCTGGAGGAAGAAGAGGGACAGCCCCTGGCTCTTATCTCTCCTTTCCCTGCCCAGTGCTTCTGTCACTGGCCAAGAATGCGATGCTTTGCTTGACATTGTGAGGTCATGTTCCACCCGAGGAGGAACAGGAGGATGCCCATAACCACCCTGGGAGAGGCTGAAAGGCTGCCCTATGTATATACACAGCTTGTGGGGGGCGGTCAGCCCTGTGCTCCACATGGCCTGTGGCATTTCACCTGTGCCTCACTTACTGTTCTAAGTGCAGTGGCCCAAGGGAGGGACCCCAGCTTCACAGGCAATGGAACTTGCCCAGCATCACATAGCTAATGTGTTAGCCACACAGTCCCGTGTAACAAATTATCCCCCAACTCAAGAGACCTCAAGCAACAAACATTTACGATCTCATGGTTTCTGTGGGTCAGGAACCCAGGAGCAGCTTGGCCTAGTGGTTCCGACTCAGGGTCTCTCAGGAATTCGCAGTCAAGAGGGTAGGGAAAGCTAAGCCATCTAAAGGCTTGACTTGCGGTGGGGAGGGGCACCCTGGCGGCTCCGGGGGGCTATGCATCCAACTTTTTTTTTTAACATTTTTTTTAAGATTTTAGTTATTTATTTGAGAGAGAGAGAGAGCTAGAGAGAGAGCATGAGAGGGGGTGAGGGTCAGAGGGAGAAGCAGACTCCCCGCTGAGCAGGGAGCCCGACATGGGACTCAATCCCAGGACCCTGGGATCATGATCTGAGCTGAAGGCAGACGCTTAACCTACTGAGCCACCCAGGCGCCCCAATACGTAAATCTTAAAAAAAAAGAGAGAGAGAGAAAGTTGACAAAGCCAATAATTTCCAAGCCACCTGGGGAAATATCTTCTCATATAAATTGTGCTACATGGAAAAAAATATTTTAACTAAACTGGGAGACAGGAAACAGAAAGTTGCATCAAATCTCAGGTGAGGGGCGCCTAGGTGGCTCAGTCGGTTAAGCATCTGCCTTTGGCTCAGGTCATGATCCCGAGGTCTTGGGATCGGGCCCGCATTGGGCTCCCTGCTCCGCGGGGAGCCTGCTTCTCCCTCTGCCTCTGCCTTTCTCTTTCTCTCTCATGAATAAAAACAAACAAACAAACAAACAAACCTCAGGCGAGTAACCTTCCCTCCCTAAGTCTCAACGTCCCCAGCTGTAAAATGGGCAGATTCCAAAAAATTGGTCAAAATCCCAAAGACCGAAAACATCCAGTGTTGATAAGCATGTAGGGAAAGGAGCACCTTCGTACCCTGATGATAGGGATGTAGTATCTCCTTTAGACCCAGGCAGTAGGGAGCTGTGGCCCAGGCCCCTCTCTCTGGATGAGGAAGCAGGCAGAATAACAGCCCCACCAGAAATGACCATGTCCTGTTCACCCAACCTGTGAATATGTTACATCACACAGAAAGAGAAGATGATGGTTGTCAATAAGCTGACCTTGAAAGAGGCAGATTATCCGGGATTATCCAGCTCGGCCCAGTGTAATCACAAGGGTCCTTAAAAGATAGAAGAGAAAGAAAGTCAGAGCCTGAATGAGGCAACATGAACAGCACGACGGGCCAGCACTGGCTTGGGCAAATGCAAGAGACCACGAAACAACCAGTGTGGGCAGCATCTGGAAGCTGGGAACGGAAGAACCCCCCCCCCCAACCTCTAGGGAGAACAAGGCTCTGCCACCACTTTGATTTCAGCGCACTGAGACCTATTTCTGACTCCCACCTCCAGAGCTATAAAATAAATGTGTGTTCTTTTGAACCCTTAATTTGTGGTAATTTGTTACAGGAACACGAGAAAACGAATACACGAAAACCCGGAACCCAAAGGGCGTAAAGGAGCGCCCACACCGGGTCCCCTCCGGCCTCCTAGACACGCTTGGGCATCTGGGGCCCCAAAGCTCCCTGCCCATCACTGCATGGTCCCTCCTCCTCGGGGCCGCTGGGGTGGGGGGCGGGGCGGGGGAGAAACCCGACTGGTCCACGCTGGGATCTGGTTAACGTTATGAAACATCCATCTTAGAGAAGAACACTAGGGACCTTGTTCAAGTACAGAGACATTTCCACGTGTCCCCACCCAGGCAGCTTTCCGTTTCAGGCCGCTTAACTAAAAAATAGTTACTAGCAGAGCAGTATCAAAAGTACAATTCCAGTTTATGAAACAAACCAAAACATAAACGTAGGGCAAGGTATGTTGGATCACGTTAGAAGCAGCACACCAAGCTCTCAATGGTGCGGCAGTGGGAGGCAAACAAGACTCAGGGCCATCGCTCCAGGGACGGGGCTGCATGGGGACGACAGGGGGCGAAGGGGGTAAACCATAGGGGCCAAGCGGAGCCGCCCTTTGCCCACCCTCCCAGTGCCACACCCCCTGCTGTATCCACCCTCTCCCGCACTCCCGACCCCGGACACGCTCCGAGCTGGGGCGAGGCTGGGAGAGGCAGTGGAAGGGGGCCGGCGGGGAGCCCACACCCTACTCCCCAACGCCAACAAGGGCGGGGCGGGGAGAGGAGGCTTGGGGCGCAGGGGATGCACAGGGCGGCGATGGGGAGGGAGGGGAGCGGTGGGGCGGGAAGGCGCGCAGAGAGGGAGGCGGGCGGACCGGGGCGCAGTGGGGTCCGCAGCGTGCGGGGGGCACTAGGTCCCCGGTTCCCCTGCACCCGCCGGGCCCCGCCGTCCGTGACTCTCGGCTCCTGATCGGTCCCTTAATCCGGGACAGGGTGAGAGGCGGACGCGCCCCCGAGCTGCTCGGCCGCTGCGCGTCGCTGCGCACGGCAATCCTGATTGGCCCCGGCACGGGCCCGCCCACCCTGACTCCGCAGAACCCGTCCCCCAGGGAGGAACCCCTCCAGCAGCAAGCCGTAGACCCGCGCGCCGCAGCTCTTACCCGACCTCTGGGTCCGCGTGGACCCGGCGCCTGGGCCGCAGGCCGGGCCCGCGGCGGACAGGCTCGAGCCGGAGTCACCGTGCACCGCAGTTGATACCGTCTCCCCCCCACCCCCAAGCCGGTTTCTCCGGTCTGGACCACCCAGATTCTCCGGGGCCCGTCAACCCGACCAGGAGACCGAGGCTTCGGAAGGTACGCCTCAGCGCCTGGATTCGAACCCGCGTGCACTCGGCGCAGTCTGGGGCCCTCAAGTGGACGCCTCCGCAGCTCCCAGGCACGGCCGCCAAGGGGCCCTCGTCCCACTCCGCGGAGTCACGACGCGCCAGCCCCGGCACAGGGTCCTAGCACCATCGGGCCCCCTGGTCCTCCCACTCACGTACAACACAGAGCAAGCCACGAAGGTGCGGGTTGCACGCCAGGTCACCTCCCCGAGGATCCCACCCCAGCTTCCCCACCTCAGTGAAAAAGTCACCCCCACCCACCAGTGACTCAGGTACACCCACAGCAGCCTAGTCTACACCAACACTAGAGCATGCCTGTCTCCCGCCCCCCCGCCCCGCCTTACCTGTCTCCAGCCCCACTGCCACCCTACAGCCGGCCCCTCAGTCTCCTTGCTGGGGGTCTAACTTAAAATGGCAGCACATCTTGTTTAAATCCCTGCAGCCTCAGAATGAAGAAGTGGAGTGCTCCGTGCCAGGCTGGAGAGGATGGGGGACAGGGCCAGCACCTAGA